TTGAGTTGTTTATAGTATTTACATCGCTTCCGCATCCGCTTCCGTTTCCGCTAAGAATTACTTTTGACATCTGTTTTCGTTTCTGTTTCCGTTATGACACTTCCGTTACATCACTACTAGTCTATCATCAGTATAGGTATTAAGTATGCACAGGGTACATCGCATCGACTTATGAAACAAAATTTTGCAATTTCATTACCTAATTCTCATGCCTCCTATTACAAATTGGTATTTTCTTATCTATTACAACTTGGTATATTATTTACCCGTAAGGTAGTGTTACCAACGACGTGCTACAAACTGACAACGAGCTATAAAACACGAGTTTGTGTCATGTTTAAGGGGAGTACGCTCGAAGTGCCAACTCGAAACACGCAACTGTTTCCCTCTTAGTACATGAACATAAAGCCTATTCAGACCGGGTTATTGCGATTCCGCGTTAATATATGAGGTGACTCCCTAAAACGCAACCACAAGGCATCAGTGACTGTCGTGTTCTTTTCGAAATTCGAAGTATTCTACGGCATTCCGATTATAGAGGAACGTGACTTCATGTAGTGCGCATAAGGAATTGTTAAAATGTGGAGCTGCTTTGAAACAAAATTGAAATCTTACTTATTCATAATTCTATGATTAAGTCCATAATCCCATCTTTACAATATGAGCAAAATTTCCCGGGTAGGTATGAGAAAGTGAGCGCATCCGAACTGAACAGCACACGAGTGAATAAAAAATGTATAGCAGCAAAATTTCATTCATAAATAGAAGGTAACCCAAGTCAAGTGGAAGACCCCGACTACAGACGAGAAATTGAAAAAGTATATTGAGATTTATATTTACTCCTTCGTCGTACAGTAAAAACATTATCCATGAATATACATACTTGACAATGTTAACATAGTATGTAAAAAATTTTTAATAAAGTACTTTACAGGTACTTATTTCTGTATGTTATATGATATTATGTAATAACGTTAAATAACGTTGCGGGGACCGTTATAAACGATTGCCCCTTATGTATTATATTTTTAGAGTCCCATTTCTCAACATACGTTAATTTTACCTCATAGAAACCTTACCTGACACGGTATGTTATTGTTATTACAAAAATAACGAGCGCTTATATTCCGACCAGTAGTTGACAATATTTTTAATTGAAACTGAATAATTAGGTTTATTCACAATTTAAAATATTTTCGGGTAGGGGAGATTCTGAAATTTTATCTTTCATTGACGTGCGCGTGGGCCAAATGCACAGGAATTACGACGTGGAGTATGAATCTCTTATTGTTTCACATACATAACCCGTAACGAAAAAATTCGTCCAGGGAAGTACTGTCACCTTACCTATGTCTGCCGCTAAGCAGTAATGTGAGCAATTACTGCTTGACGGTTTTGAAAGGTGTTGGTAAAATTAGAGGCACGTGGGGCTAGTCAACTTATGTTTAAGAGTGACAGGCGCAGTGGTAGATCTTTGTGATTTAAAATTCTGAGTGGCACTGCATCTGCTATGGACAGGCGTGTCGCTTACCACCAGGCGACTTATTCGTCCCGTCACTTGGTGTCACAAAAAAACTCCTGAGTGCGCAACCTACACTTGAATTCATTGTAATAATGAAATGCCACACCATTACTCCAGATCTCATACTAGCGAAATTATCCTTCTACTAAGAATGCCAGACCAACAAATTAACTTTGGGAACGCTGCTGCCCAGAACATACAAACCAGAATCAATTTACAAATGTTGGTTTAATAAATTAGTCTTACAGGGAATCGAACCCGGGATCTATTCATCAAGTCACACAATACTAACCTTTGGGACTTGGGCGGCGAGGTCGTCACTTAGGACACTTCTGGAGGTTGTACTTTATTTCCGTCCTACCAAACTTACTTAGTTTCCTCACAATCCACAAAGACCCTTGTAACTTCGTAACTAATCGAAGGACTTGAAGACGTAGGATATTAATGCAAAGTTCATTAGAAATAATCCAAAAATGGAAAAACGCCACTACGATAAAAATGTGTGTATTTTTTTATCATATAAATAAATAAATAATCTCTCACTAGTCTCTCAGTCTCATAGTCCCGCACTAGGAAAACCCTGTATCGTGGTTGCCATTGACATACACATAGACAACCACAAATGACACCCAAACTCACTAGAGAAATAATGCCATAGAAATATTTCCCCGGCCCAGGAATCGAACCCGGAACCTCTGTATGGCAGTCCAGTATAGTAACCGTTCGGCCACAGAGGCAGTTAAAATTATACCAGATAGCTTAAGCCCCTTCCATAGATCAATTTTAAAACAAAAACGCGTAGGTGACTATTTGGATCATCGAATTTATTCCTTTCAGTTGACGATTTTATGAAATATAAAGACTAGATACTAATTTACAAATGCATTATTTTATTTTTTATTATTATTTTTGCTTTTGTTTAAATCTTAATAGAATAAGATTCCAATTAAATTTTCACCATCCACATTTATAATGTACCCTACCCTATTTTAGGTTAATGATTGATTTGAAATATTTAGCACAATAACCGTGCTAGCTAACGAGCTTCCTATGATTTGTATGATCCAAGATATACCCTTACCCTTCCGTATTACTAATTTATTGAACACATAGCTTGTCTGGTAAAACTTATTACAACGTCCTTGTTGTGGTTCAAAACTCTTAAACTTATCCATTTAACCGTCCTCACCTTGAAAATCGACATTCTGTACAAGTAAGTAGTTCTAAAGTTGTGTAACACTCAGGAAACAATTTTGATCATGAATACTTTGATCATCCCCCACGTTGAATACTGACACCAATTTAATATTGATACAGATAGACAGATAGAGAGAAAATTGAAAGGGTCGTCATCTCAATAAGGTTTGGCAATTGTATACTCACAACTTGGGAATTTTACGCCGATATTGAAAACGGTTTGACTAACAATGTAACTGGGTGTCAGGGCTTATCAAATGCGTTTTATGTGGCTGTACGAGAAGGTGTGTAATATAATAAGTACATTTTTAACCGATTCAAAAAAAGAGGTTCTGTTTTGTGTATGTTACGTAATTACTCCGACACATGTGAATTTCGATGATTCTTTTTTTGTTGGAAAGGGGGTGCCTCAGTAATGATGGGACCCCTTCAAATTTGAAGAAAATGTTCCACCTCTAAGGGCATGAATCCACATTTTACTCGCTGTCCGTTAACCGATATCAATAAAACTTGGGAAATATGTAGACGTAATTCCACAAATTTTTCAGGTCGATTTTCATTTTGTAAAAAAATTATAAATATGGTAATGTATATGTGTCTAGTCATATATATATATATGTAATTTTAACAATAAACAGAGTTATTATAAAATATTAAACATCATAAACAACAACTTTTGCTCCATGACTTTTAATAATTCATAACATTATTTTTGTACTTAAATAAAATTATTTAAATAGATCGCTCTGAACGGTGTGGTAACTCTGTTGTGTATGATGTTTACTAACATATAGACCTCTGAGGCTGTCAGTGTTTTACGAGTATTTTTATTTTATAATACCAACTGACGGGACGAACAAGTGGCGAGAGACACGCTTATCCACAACAGTTGCAGTCCTGCGCAACTGAGCCCGTCACCCTGGAACATAAGTCGACAAGTCCCATGTGATTGTAATTTCACCAGCAACCTTACCCTTCTATACCGGAACGCAGTAATGTGAGCATTACTGCTTGGTGGCAGAAATAGGTAAGGTGGCGGTACTTCCCTGGACGAACTCTTTCACAAGGAACTCTACTGCTACGAAAACAACAACAAGGAACCCTGTGTAGCAGAATATTTTTCTTAGTCTTATAGCCCGACCAAGACCAACTTGCCAATTTGACCAAAATGAAGACGTCTTGTAGAAAGGTTAGGTCAAGAGTATCCTTTTAACCGACGAGTTTGTGACGATGTTCCTGGCCACTTGTTTTCAAATTTTGAATCATTCTTTAATTCTTTTGCCTCATAGTTATAGTACTGCTCTAATTTTTAATTGAGTCTAATTTTGATACTTTTACCAGTTCTCAACCTAATCATGTACCAATTTTAATACCAATCTATAATACTGTATAACTCGGCCCTTTACTGGGTAACTCTGTCTCAAATTTAGTATTTAAGTAGGGAGTGTTTTGTAACTTAGTACCTGTTTTTTTGTGTACCTTTTCTTGTTACAGCCTTTCTTTACGTTTTAACTATGGAATAAAGTTTTGAGGTTTTGAGTACCCTATTTTATTGCCGTGATCCTGGTCACGGCATATTAGTGGTTTACAGCCTTTTCAAGTTTGTATGAAAGCACTGATGCTTGTAGCAAATGGAAGGCTGACGTACCTGCCTACCTAACTACCCCAATAGGAAAAAAGGCTTGAAGTGATTATAATGTCTATATTTGTTGGTGTTTAACAAATATCTTCCATTAATTTCCGTTTGACTCCAGTAACAAGTACCAATTATAATATTCAGCCTAGAGTTTTCTTAATTTTTACGGGGAGCAGCGTTAATAAAGTAAAGTAAACAGCAGTGGGTGGGTGATTCATAGTTTTGAATAAATTCATCTCGAGTTCAAGTCAACAGCCTTGAGTTAAAGTTCCGGAGAAGTTGATTAACAATTCGCTATTTGCTGTAAACTCTAAAATCATAGCAGGTTTTTCAACATAATTTTCTGAAAGTTAATCGCTGAATTAAAAATACACAGATTAAGAATAAGTGCATACATAAGTTCTTCTCAGTATTGAATTACTTCCTCTATCAATTATTCCAGACTTATAACTCGAATATTCTTCAGGTATACCTACTGATTTAATTCTATCTGTAGTATATTCATAAAAATACAGAAATCACTTTAAGACAGTTTATTGAATAATAGAATAATATGTCAAACGTAACCCAGGTAACAATGTACCAAAGAGATATATAACAGGCCTTCGCTGTAAAAATCCTCAGAAGGAAACCCTGGGCCTTGCACTAGTTCCGCACTTCTATTGCTGACCGTAACATCTGGTCGACGTGCCTCTTGCAGGTTTCACCGTCGTCCGTTTCGACAAGGTAGTGGATATAGCCCAGTACTCGTAACACAGTTCCAAATTCCCATTTACTGTTTTTCTTGTAGCTTCGTATCTGTACTCTTTGGCCCGGGGAGAACGTCCTTGTCTGCGGGTGTTGGGGAATGCTTCTTGTGTTGTCAATTACAGTACTCCTATATCGCACATGTATAGACGTCCTCACCTCCCTCCCAAACATGATTTCATATGGGCTTTTGCCAGTGCTGACACTGGGCGTCCTTCTCAATTGCTCTTTAATTTCCAGTATCTTTTCCTGTATGGTACCCGGGTAAGCATTCGCCGCCTGCAATGCCCTCTTGACAGTCTGGACAGAACGTTCCGCTTGTCCGTTTGTCGCCGGATGATACGGAGCTGAAGTCTTGTGAACTATCCCGTTGTTTTTGAGAAATGTTTCAAACTCTGTTGACACAAATTGCCTTCCGTTATCTGATACTATTATTTCCGGATAACCAAATGTTACAAATAACTCCTTCAATCTGGAGATGCACCATGAACTTGTTGTCGTCTTAGTGGGAATAATCTCTATCCATTTTGAAAATGCATCCACAATGACAAACAACGATTGTCCTTGAATAGGACCCGCGAAGTCAACGTGGAGTCTCTGCCAAGGGGTTATAGGGGTCTCCCAGGGGTGGCGTGGTGCCCGTGCTGGTTGGTTCTGGTTTAGCCTACACTCACGACAACCTTTAACTAGGTGCTCAATGTCTTTATCGATGTTTTTCCAGTAAACAAAACCTCGTGCTAGGAGTTTCATTTTCACTATTCCTGGGTGACCCGTATGTATGTCTTCCAGTACTGCCTGTCTCATGGCAATTGGGATCATAACTCTAGTGCCTTTTAAAATACACCCATCCTGCAGCGTCAGCTCATTATCATTGTAACCGTATCGCGTCACACTCGTTCCTGACTGCAAAGCCTCTACTACAGCCTCGTATTCAGAATCCCTTTGGGTTTCATCCGCAATCGTTTGGCGGTCAATCGAAATGTTGTTAATTTGTTGCAATTGGAAGGCACAATTAACGTCAATAATGTTTGTAGCTATCATGTCAACTGGGAATCGAGATAGGTAGTCTGCATTACTGTTCTCAGCTGATGATCTATACTCTATGCTGTAGTCAAAGCCGGAAAGAAAATGTGCGTAGTGGAAAAGTCTCATAGTGCTCATTGCCGGTAGTGTTTTATACGGATTGAAGATTATCGTTAGTGGTTTGTGATCTGTGACTAGTATAAACTTCCTACCGTAACAGTAGTGAAAGAATTTTTTTAGTCCCCAAAAGATTGATGTCGCTTCTTTGTCAATCTGACTGTATTTCTTTTCGCTGGTAGTGAGCGAACGCGACGCAAAAGCAATGGGCCTGTCTGAGCCATCTGGCAGCCTGTGAGAGAGCACAGCTCCGAGCCCGCTGCACGACGCGTCTGTGACGAGTACTAGAAGTTTAGTCTGATCGAAATGGACTAAAACTCGTTCACTAAGAATTTCTTTCCTAATTTTGTTGAATGCATCCTCACAATCAAATGACCATGTGAATTCGGTGTCTTTCTTAAGTAAATTATTCAGTGGGCATGAGATAGAAGCTAAATTGGGTATGAACTTATTGTAGTAATTGGCCATGCCCAGAAATGTACGTAATTCACTAATGTTGCTCGGACGGTTCGTATCTAGAATTGCTTTGACCTTGTCTTTGGTTTTATGAAGACCGTCTTTATCGATAATATGCCCGAGGTACTTAATAATAGGGGTTAAAGTATGAAATTGCCGATTTGTACTGAAAATCTA